TAGGACTCCATCAAGAGCATTTTAGCCCTGTGGGATTCAGCAGAAGAATGCTTTTGCGGAATCCTAACCCTAAATTAGTCCCAGGAAAAGAATCCCCATTGATCTTTTCCCTACTACAAGCAGGCCAAAGAGTTTGTGGGGCCCAAGTGGCATGTTGTGGTTAGCTGCACCTGGACAGTCCAGTATTTTTGCCTCCTGTCCGATAAAAAAATCCAGAAAATACCGGACACCTAAAATGTCCAGTATTTTCTGATTTTTTTTCCTGGCCAGGAGACAAAAATACTGGGTGCTTACCTGGTTCTACAGGGGAGATGTCTGGCCCGGAGCAGGAAGACAAGATGGTGGACAGCCGCTTGCAGCCTGTTAGGGCCAAAAAGCCTCAAAAGCATTTCTTAAAGGGGACATGCTTTTTTTTTTCAAATAATTTTTTTAATATCTCAAAACTTTGGTATCCCTCCCCCTTTTTTTAACAGATTTTTTTCCACAGTGGTTTTGTTTTTGTTTTTGTTTTGTTCTGGGGCCGGAGCAGGAAGACAAGATGGTGGACAGCCGCTTGCAGCCTGTTAGGGCCAAAAAGCCTCAAAAGCATTTCTTAAAGGGGACATGCTTTTTTTTTTCAAATAATTTTTTTAATATCTCAAAACTTTGGTATCCCTCCCCCTTTTTTTAACAGATTTTTTTCCACAGTGGTTTTGTTTTTGTTTTTGTTTTGTTCTGGGGGCAGGTGTTAGGTAATTTTGGTTAAACCATCTGGCAACCCTAGCTGCACCGCGTGGCAGGACGGCTCCCAGCCAGGGCAGCGAGCGAGTCGATGGGCAGGCGGGTGCTGAGCAGCGCAGGGCCCTGAAGGTAAGGGGCCCAAGGCAACTGCCTTGCTCACCTTGCCCTAAGTCTGGGCCTAACTGCAGGAGTTTTTCCTGGACCATCAGGAGTCAGAAAGTAGGTTTGTTTGATATTTGGGCCATGTTACCTTACTGATTTGGAACACAAAAATCTAGGAATTACCATACTAGATCAAACGATATATCCAGTTAATCCATTCTCTTGTTTCCATTGGCACCTGATATCATGTGGTATCAGAAAGCATAAGGGAGAAACTTTGAGGTGAGAAAATGTGGAATAACAGCCCAAAGGTAATTTTCTTCTTTAACTTAGTAATTAAACATTAATTTGTGGAATTAAAATGTATGACAATTTTCTCCTGATTTTCCATTAAAATGCAAAATGTTTTGACCACTCTTGTGAAAAGGGCTAAAACATCCTGTTTAAAATCTATGTAAATAAATAAATCATGTATCATTAAAGCTTGAAATGTGTGTGTGTGCGTGTGTGCGCATGTGTATATACACACACACACATTTCTTCGTTTCATGCTTTCATGATACATCATGGTGTTACATAAAAGCTTCCCATAGGTGAAGTATCAAAAACAAAACATTCACATTTGACAGGTAGCAGCCAAAAACTTTAGAACATAAGAACATTAGAATAGCCATACTGGGTCAGACCAATGGTCCATCCAGCCCAGTATCCTGTCTGTCAACAGTGGCCAATACCAGATGCCCCAGAGGGAGGGAACACAACAGGTAATCCTCACGTGATCCCTCTCCTGTCACCCAGCTCCAGAGAAAGAGAGACTAGGGACATCACTCCTACCCATCCTCACTAATAGCTATTGATGGACCTAACTTCCATGAATCAATCTAGCTCTTTTTTGAACCCTGGTAAAGTCCTAGCCTTAACCACATCCTGTGGCAAGGAGTTCCACAGATTGACTGTGTGCCAAGTGAAGAAAAACTTCCTTCTGTTTGTTTTTAAACCTACTGCCTATTAATTTCAATTTCATTAATGGAGAGGGATATATGTTCAGTTTTTGATATTTTACCCATTGAAAGCTTTTTTTAAATCACTGAACTCTGAGCATTTAGAAGGTAAATCTATGGCTGGTTCTTTGGTCACTCAGAAAGGAAACTATTTGCTGATATTTTTTACTATTTTTCAGGTGTTCTCCATGATCACTAAAACAGCTATATTATTCCTAATCCAAAAGCAGCATGTGTGGGCAACAGTTTTTGTCTTCTGAATATGTTAATTTATGCATATGTGGAAAAAGTACAATAAAATCTCATTTATGCATTAATTCAAGATCAGTTCAGACATAATCCTATTGGAAACATTTTTCTCCAATAAATCTACATTTCTACCCCAAATACAACCTGAAAAGTTTAATGAAAGTACCATCACCACAAGTGAGAAACACTTTAATTTTTCTGTCACATCAACACCTCTAGTCTTCCTTTGAACTAGAAGAAAATGTTGCACCAAAGTAATGCCTTGTGCTGAACTTTTATGTCTAGACTGTAGGTTATTACTTTGTGCAAAGTCTTCCAGCCTTGTAATGAGAATTCATGTGCTCCCTCCAAGTCAGCTAAAGGTTTAAAAAAGGAATTACCTTTGATGTATACATATTGGTCAATAAATCTGCTTCTAACGCTTTCATTTCCTCTTCTGAATCTAGGAATAAATCAGAAACATATGTGTACTATTTCATCACAAATCGGAGTAATTTGATTTCAGCATATAGGATGTAGGCATATCTCAAAAAGAGCTCTTTGACTTCAATACTGGATAAACAATAATGCGAGTGTCTTGTTTTTTTAGACTATGATCCAGACTGCAAGGGTCTTTTAATGGACATACAACATAAGTTAATGATGCATCTATAAACAATCATTCGCCATTGTTCTGGGGCCTGGTCGAAAGTCACTGAATTCAACTGAAAGATTTCCATTCACTTTAATGGACTGATCTCAGGCTCATAATTTGTAGCCATTTCTGTAAATAAAAATTTTGCCCAATCTTCTCATCAATTGTCAGTATGATGCCATTATCATCTTAACAAGCTTGTCTGTCACCTTTGCAAACTTTTAGAAGCTGACTTTCTAATTCTTTATTTTAAAAATACATTTATTCACAATAGAGATGGAATTAAGTTTTTAAAGAATAAATATTAATAGCAGTTATAGTTAATGGGCAAAACTCTCATCTACGGTACATCAGCGTAAATTTTACCCATACCAGCAATGGGCAAAACTCTCATCTACATCAGCGTAAATTTTACCCATACCAGGATTTCAGACTGATTGGAATTTGGCTTATTGACTTTTTAAGAGTGTGAGTGTGTCTGAGACTTACTGTAGTGGAATAATTCCTTTCTACTGATTTAGTTGGCCCTACATAGCACAATATTTTACCACATCTGATGACTTATTTGATAGGGGAACATTATTTTAGAAGGATCATGCAGAAAGAACTTTATTCTGCTTTGCACTGAATTATGTGAAAGAGGTTAATTACTTCACAAATTAAGCAAACATAACTCAAAAATTATGGTGAATGTCCAGAAATCATTAAAGACCGCTCTTGAAGCAAATTTTAATTCATTATTTGTTTTGTAACTTTCTAAAATCAACACTAAATCCAAGCCAATCAGTAAATCACATTAAAAATCTAGAAAACGTGGGAACTCTCAGGAATTTCAGGTTCCCTCTTGCAGTGCTTAGATTTAAAAAAAAATACTTAGAATTTGAAATATACATATACTTAGATTTTAAAAAATAAATAAAAAGATAAACCTGTGTGAGGCTCTAGGCATCCTAACAATCATAACAATGTATGATAAATCTCAGCTGCATTAGCGTGGTCAGCATTGTGATTGCTATTATGTAGGTGGTCTACACAGTAGAATCTGTTGGCCAGTTCGTAAATCTCAGCAGCATTAGCGTGGTCAGCGTTGTGATTGCTATTATGTAGGTGGGCTACACAGTAGAATCTGTTGGCCAGTTCCATTCAGGGTTGAGATCTATGGATGAAAAGTGCTATACAAGAGTTGGGTTTATTATTATTATTATTTTATTTTATGTTACTACTACTACTACTACCTTGGCAGTCATAGGAATATAGAAAGTAAGACTGGGAAGGCTTTTTGGATCATCCAGTCCAGTTCCCTGCAACTGCAACCTTAGGATATATATTCCTTTAAAAAGATTATCTAGCTTCATCTTAAAAGTAGTTATTCTGTTTGTCCCTACTACTCATATTGGGAAGCTGTTCCAGAACCCCATTCCTCTGGTCAGAAACCTTATTTTACCTATTATTATTCTACATTGTTCTTTAGCTTAAATATCTCTTCTCCCTCCTGGCATTTTCATCTTGATGTATTTGTAGTGTGTAATCTTATCCCAGCCTACATTTTGCTAGGCTAAACAAACTAAACTTTTTTAGCCTCCTCTTGAAAGATAGGTTCTTCATACCCCCTAACAACTGCAGCAGACCTCCTCTGCACCAGTTATCAATACAGCATCGTAGTACCTTTGAAAAGTCCTGTGAACGGGACTCTGTCCTAAGGAGTTTACACTACAAAATCCAAACTAAAAATAGAGCATGTAGAATGACCATGATATGTGTAATGCTATATGGAATGTGGAGGTGTTAAGCAATATTTTGAAAGAAGAGAGCAAAAAAGCTTGAATACCTAAGCAGGGAGACTGTTCCAAGTTAGAAGGGTAGGAGGGAGAGAAGCGTGGATTCAGGAGTCAGCTAAAAAAAAAAAGACATAGGAGAAGGCAAAAGAGAGATGGGCAGATAAGCACCAGGCACGGGAAGCAGTGAAGGAAGAGTTGAAGGCAGGGATGCCATGGGGGCAGAATTAGAGAGAGCTCCGAATACAAAGTTTGCTCTTCTCTTTCTGACTCATACCTTAACTGAATTGAAATTCTGCACTTTGTTATATATTTAAATTGTACATGCTATCTTTTCCCTTTGGTAGAAACCTTATTTTCAAAAGAAAAGCAAAATACATGTTCTGGGACTTAGAAAAAAAGAGTGCAGAGTTTTCCACTAGGAGCAGGTCATTCTGTCCAAGGTACACATTTTTATAATTTTAAGCAAAATAAATCATTTTAATTATGGTATGTCCTACTGTCTTTAATACAGATCCAGTCCAATGTCTAGTGAAATCAATGGGAGACTTTCCATTGACTTTACTGGCAAATTAAATCAGGTGCTACTATGGCCGTTAGGATACGAACCTGCTTCGCTACCTAAAAACTAAGAATGGTCGTTATTCTCACTGCTTTATTATTCTGGGAAACAGATCCTGCTGAGAACAAGTCATTACAAAACTCCATCTCTTTGAGCAGAAGCAGTATCAGATCCAAAGATCCATTCTGTGTTAGATTTTGCTTACACTTCTCACACCATCCAATACTAACACCTATTTTACTCGTTATTCTCTTCAAAATATTTTGTGAGTATTCCTTTAACATCTTGTTAAGGCATAACCATTTATCTTCTTGAACAATGCTAATATACTACCTGATATAGACGTTTACAAGGTAAGACATTTTAGTCTAAAGGGAGGAGCCCGATACTCCTGAATACACCATGAAACAGAATTCTGAAAATTGAATGTTAAGGGTTATAATTTCCACATATATTCTTTCCATTTTCCTAGCATTTCATTGACCTTTAGAAAGGTAGGCCCTCGAGATTATCTCATCTGTTCCTTCCCCTCCATGCTGAAATGGGGTAAGTATATTAAGTCCTAGACCCTCCCTCAATATGTGTATCACTTTCAGTATATTTCATAGTATCATAAATCATGTTAATCATGTACTAATCTATTTTATAAGTTAGCAAGTCTGTTTTGACGTCTGCTGCATATGCTTGTGTGTGTGATTGTATAGCTGTACAAGTCATTGCATAGCATTTTACATGTTTATACATTTAGCTATGTTATTTTCCCCAAGAAATTATGAATATGTGTTACAGATCATCTGTTATCCTCTGGCTATTTCAAGCAATTACACTTGGAGTAGAAAGTCACTGTAGTTTATTCTTCTATGATGTGATTTGGGCAAGCTTTTAGCTTTTCTCCCCCTTCGGTAATTTGGTAAGGATTCTTTTAACACTCCAGCTTCAGTTTTTGTATCCATATCATTGATGGATATGACACATGTAGTGTATATTTAAGTACACATATAATTATTTTGGTGAGGATTTTTCAAGGCTTCATATGAGTGATAGAAAAGATATTGCCTAAGATATTTGAGAGAACACCATAATAGCCCATAGATCACAAATGCCTTCCAATATTTGTTACAAAGTGAATGGCCACATCCTCAAAGGCTATTTTATAACTTTTAAAAAACATCTGATATTGATGCTGTGAGAGAGCAGGTGAAAGTGATGGGACAAATTCATGGGAATGACAGAGAAACTGTCCTTCAACACATTATCAGGGGTGGCTCCAGGTGTGTGCAAGTTAATTCACTTTATTTCTTTTGATCTGATAGGAAGGACTACTATACTACTATCCCATCTCAAAATGACTAAACGGATGTAAAAACTTTTTAAAAAACCCACACAAAACCCTTCCACTTTCCCTGGCTTAAATGCAAATCAGTCTTATAACTAACCACAGAGGTAGGTTTGGGGAGAGGAACAGACACCCCCACATCAATACACTGCTTAGAAGGGAATCCCAAAGAAGTCGCAAAGCCCAGCTTACCTGAGCAAAGGCTCCAGGAGGTGCAAGCCAGCAGGATCACACACACCAGTTGAATTCTCATTCTTGCCATCTTCAGCCCTCTAGAAAGTAAAGTCCATCAATACTAAGAAGAAGAGATGAGAGAGACAGACACAGACACGGACAGAAAGAGAGAGAAAGTACAGCTGCTTCCTTCCCTCGCTGCCTTGAGAGGACTTTGTGACCGTCTGAACCCATAAGGGGAACCCTGGACCATTCCCTAAGTATATAAGCAGTGGGGTGATGTCACAAAAGTAGAGTGATTGTCTCTTAATGAATTACCCTCCCTTCTCCTTCCCCTCCTCCTCCTCAGCCCCCGCCCCCAGCCGCTCGGGGCTGAAGGAAACTGACGCGATTCACTAATTGCGCTTCGCCGCCCCACACTCCTGGAAGCGCGCAGCGATCCGATATGAAAGGGTCCTAGAATACAGAGCAATCCCGAGGGATCGGCTCACCTGGCCTCTGGCTCACGCACACAACCCCCCGAGAGACAGGGCAGCTCTTAGTTCCTTCAGGAGACTAAGATGCGTGAGGGGCATTAAAAAGGAGAGATCGCCTGGCAAGGAGAGGCACGCCCGCTGTACAGGATGCAAGAAAGATGCTCTGGGAAATAGGAGCTATGTTAAAGCTGCGAACATCTCACAGCAGTCAGTGCAAAGCGTCCCATAGAGAGCACGCTGTCGTCAGTTACAGACCTCCCCTCCCTAAATGTGGGGCCGAATTTTACCAACTGCTAGACAAAACAATGAGGGGGAGTAAAATGGATGTGATTTATATGGAACCCATATTTTGTGCCACCAAGGCTGGCTTTTTAAAATAAATCTATGCACTATATATATAATAAACATTTAATTTAGGACACACAAAATAGCTAGATTTTAGGCTGTTTCGTGTGCCCTGAAGCATATATTATCCGTATATAATCTTTGAAACTTTAAGGGTGCTATAGGGTAATGAAAAACATCCCCCTGGTATAGGAATTACATTTCCCTCGTGTACAATATTGATAGGGATTTCCCCATATCCCACTCTCTGAGACATAACGAAAAGAGATTCTAGAGGAGTAGAATGTGAGATTAATGCATTGAAATACACGACCTACAGAAAATCCGAGTGCATGCGGTTCAGGGGATGCAATACTTTCGGTAGCTGCTTTCTTGAAACGGGAGCGGAAGTATTTCATTTTGTCCGGAGACTTTTGCCTCCATTAGGGGGCGCCGTGGAAATATGAGAAAAATTCTTCTCCCGCTTAAGCTTTTCAGATCCTTGTAAAAACCTCAGCGCTCCCCTGGCTTGCCACATTTAAACTAGGTTGGTGAAATAGATCTCATTTGCGTTTACATTCGTTCCCTGTCACGTTTATCCCCCGCTCTGCGTCACTTATAGAGGTAAAGAATATTCGAAGCAGTGGACAGGTTAGAGGGGCTACTATGTTGCTTCAGACTAATTTCCTATTACAGACTAATTCGGAGGGGTAGCCGAATTAGTCTGTAACAGGAAAAACCTGAAAAACGACAAATGGTCTGGTAGCACTTTAAAGACTAACAAAGCGTGTAGATGGTTTCATGAGCTTTGGTGGGCACAGTCCACTTCTTCAAATGACCGGAGTGTAGTGGCGCGAGTGTGGAGGAGAAATGCTAAAGAAACATATGAGTCTGAATCACGTTATTTCTTGACAATGAGACTTTTCTCAGAGACCAATGTTCGCATCTGCAGCAGGCAGAGAATGCTTATGTTACAGCGCCGCACATTTTGATCTGCGAGGCTTTGTTTAAGGACCGATACGGGTAGCCTACATGCCAGCCACGAGTTCGCTGGATGATTGCTTCGCCAACGATGGGTGCTTTGCGTAAGACTGAAGAGGAAATAGTTTCCTTTAAAAGCAAAAACAATTGATCACATATAGGCTTTCCCACGCGCTACCCGCTTTTCCCCATACTGTTGAAATCTATCGCAAGGAAATTAAAATACACATGCCAACCAAGGAAGCCTTAGGTCAGACGTCTGGATGGATTCGTGTTTTGTACCATTCTAACGTTTTACATTTGGAAGCACTTTAGTGATAAATGGATAAAAATGAAGGAACACGCCCTGTGTTTATTCTTGGATTATTGTTGTTTGTTTAATAATAACCCAAATGCTTGAATATTATTGAAAACTTGTTTTTCTTTCCTGTAATTCTAGTTTACTGAGAGTGGATGGATTTTTAAAATAAAGCTTTCCTATTTTGCAGTCAGTGCTATTCATTACTATTATTGTTACAGAAGATCACAAATACACACTGCATAAAGACCAATCGTTAGCTAATTTCACTTCCAGGGCCTGCTTTTTCTTTTCAGAAAGTTTTGTGAATGGGAATCCTATATAGTGTCTTCCTTCTCTGACATGGATTTCTCCAATAGTATAGTTCCCATATTTTTACATAACTGAAATGTACTTTGATGATGGATTTCCCCCCAGTGTGTCAGCGATTGTCAATTTACTGCCATAAAATATGTGATTATCTAATTTTTATCCTTGTTCTCTCTTGATTTTCAATCCCCAAAGAATAATTTAGGTTCTACTATGTAATAATTTTTGGGAGTCCTACCTCTGTTTCTGCTAGCAAACAATCAGCCATGGACACAAAATCTCTTGCTTCCAAGTGCACCCTTCAATATGCATCTGTTCCTTCTTGATTTAAGTTCAAATGAACTGGGGTCAGAAACCATTGACTCAGCACAGTGGAGTAGTTTTATTTTGTTCTCGATGAGAACGAGCTGTCTGTTCTTTTCCCATTGCTCATTTATTTTCCTTCCTGCAGCTTCTTCTAAGTCTACAGCTTTCCCCTCTGTTACATTAAAATATCACATAGTAGGGCTAATCCCAAAATTTCTTTTTCTTTCTTTCTTTCTTTCTTTCTTTCTTTCTTTCTTTCTTTCTTTCTTTCTTTCTTTCTTTCTTTCTTTCTTTCTTTCTTTCTTTCTTTCTTTCTTTCTTTCTTTAGAAGAATAACTATCAAATAATTGGTAATGTCTTCCACCCAGGGAGCAGAAATAAATAGCATAGATGCAAAGCCAGGGGAACAAATGCAACCAGATGCATTTGTTTCATTATAGCAGGCTTACTTTTAAATTATCTGCTTTGTTTGACAGTGTCCTGTGACATTGTTGTGGAACCAAACTCTGCTGATGCCACAAGGAAAATGTGGAACACTGAATTTCATAGCAGGACACCCTTCCCCTCAGTTCCTGCCTCCTGCCATTGTGACTTGTATGTAATCACATCTGTGTAACTTTTTCTGGTTATGGTCTATGGGTCTG